GATACAATTCTACGTAAGATAATTGGAAGACGTACGAGATCATTATTCAAGTGTGAACAAAAGCAAAAAATAATAGATGATCTACTTATTTTTATTAAAATGGTCCCGCGATGATGTGCCACTTTCTTGCGAGGAATTTTCTAAAAGATTTACAGGTACATACAGAAGGATACCATACACAATTATAAATTCTGTCAATAAACTTCTAAACAATTATTTAATAAAAATTAGTTAATAAGGATGAGTTACGAGTGAGATGATATTTATTATGAAGATTGTTCTCTTTTCCAACAGTTCTAATTTAAATGTCGTACATCACAAATGATGAGATATAAAAGAAAATTGTAAAAGAAGGTAAATTTAGAATTCTTAAATTGTAAGATGCAAGTTCAAGAAGCAGCTAAAATTCTACTAGAGATCATATGTGCAGCAATTGATAATTAGTCAAAACATTTTCGTTTTATAAAAATGATTCAAATAACAAATAACTTACATATTTTAAAACTGTAATTTCAGAGCATCGTTTCTTTACTTAAAAAATGTGATTTTCAAGCTTTTATTATGAATTAATTAAATAAACATTATTTCAATCGTCAAAAGTGAACTAACTTTATAAAAACTTTATAAAAAAAATCTTCAAAATTGTTATAATTAAAAAATGGTAGTTTAAAAAAAGTAACAGCTAAAAAAGTAGTTTTTAAACGTTATAAAATAATAAAAATGACATTTGATCATATTAAGAATACATTTTTTCCAATATTATTTGATTTTTAATCAATAATTTTCAATTAAAAAAATAGTTTGAAAAATATTTTCTTTTTTCTGGGAAATTTTATTTGTTTAGTTGTCACTTTTAAAATAAGAAAGCGACATGTTTGCATTTCAATTCGATTAAAACATTTTATTATATTTTTATATATTATATTTTATATAATAAAATATTGACAGAATTTATATTGAGATTTTATACTATGGTTGGTTTGGTTACAACGAATTGGAGATTGTCAGTAATTAGAAGATATTTTGTAACTAATTTTCTTTTCAGTAACTAATTTTCAATTATAACTAATCCTTGCATAGAAAGATATTCAAAAATATCATTTCCATAACTTTCTATTTAAGATCTTTTTGTAACAATGTAAAATTATTATCGAATATTTCATTCTAAAAGAATAAAAAAGAATAAGCAGAAACTGATACATATCTGTAATACGTTTCTTCGTAACGAAAAAGATAATAAATAATAAAAATTAATTTAAATATTACAACTGTTAATTTTTGTTCATGCAAGAGATAATGAAAAATTTTTTAAAATGCATGAAAAATTGTTTAAAATTGTTTAAATATTATTTAAATTGTTTAAAAATTTAAATTGTTTAAAAACGAATATCTAAAAAGTTTTAAATTGATTTCAGAGAATAATTCTTTAATTTTAGGGCAATTATTTTCTTATTTATTTAAATTTTATTATTCGACATAAGATTATCTACTATTTAAAAATTGATAAAGACAAAGGAAGGCGAAATCTAACTTTTTTTATATTTATCCATTCCTCCATTGTTAAAAATAAATGTTGAAAAATAAATTTGTCATTTATATTATAATTCTAACTATCAAAATTAATAACAGTAATCAAACATTCCATCAGAGTTCTTACGAAAGAACAATTCTTCGATCTAAACTTGTAAATTTGTTAGATAAAATTACCTTCGTGATGTATATATCACATTAGAGATTACTAATTATCTAATTTAATTATCTTTAATTATACAATCGATTTCTTTTTTGTCATCGTCGCAAAAGTACATAATTATACAGTTCTATCACTTTCATATATTGCGTGGGTTCCTTACGAAAAAAAAATATTGAACTCGTTATCGATATGACTTATATTAAAAAATAATTTTCCAATACGATAAAAAACATTCTGGAAATATCCTTCATATATGTTTAACAAAGTCGCTTATAAATTACTACGTCGCTATCGTCTATGCAAAAATGGCACTCAGACTATGCGACTATTTTGTACGCATATCCACGAGCCGTAAGAAATATTTTCAACTAGCTAGGGAGTATTTACAAAACTGAACATAAAAACAGTGTTTACAAAAGTAAACATCGCGGTTTATACTTATATAAAACTGTAGTCGAATACAATCAAACCTCCGTATTCTTATTATCTCTTAGCACCTCTGTAACTTTAAGTCTTTAAACTTTCACATTTTTTAAATTTTCTCTGCTGATTTTTCCTCATTATTTCACATTAGCCACACCTGCCTAGGATAAAAATGTCGTTATGCACATGATTAAACGATATTTTCATTCTATGCATGCTATTATGTGAGAGTAAGAAAATTGAGGGCGAGAGTTAAGAAGAGTAAGAGAGGTTATTTGGTCCTGACATGCTAAAAATATTATCTAACTGCAATCTTAAATGCATATTATCGTAATACAGGTTATATGCGGTATTATTATATTCTTTCTTAATACTTCAGTTTTTTTAGTATATCATATGATTAATTATAATTAAAATATTATAATTATAGATTATTCTATATATGTGATATAATATAATGCTATAATAGTAAATATCATATATAATTATACAATGTGTTTGATTAAGTATATAAACTTATTGTTAGTTATTTTTTTAATAATAGAGTTATAATCAATTCTTTCAAATAAAAGATATTTCGTTTAAGAAGATTTATGTGACTTCAAATAAAAGTTTTTAAATCATTTTAAAGAAATGCTTTCAATAGCAGTTTTATCTTCTTAGAATAACATATCTATATTTTGTAATATATTTTATGATAAATTCAATAATGTAATTTTATTACGATAAAATGTAATTTTTCGATAGCTATTCATGAGATATTGTTACTTATGTCGTTTTTTTAGTTATAAGAAACAAAATATTTCTAGTAAAAGTTTTTACTAAAAAAATTATTTAGAACTTTTGTTTAAATCATTGTACAGATCTTCTTAAACAAAATAATTTTTCAAAAAATTTTCTTATCTTCTTTAACTCTATATTTATAAAAAAAATAACTGAGTGTATACATTTAAATCAAACATATTGTATTTATATGATATTTATATATATGATACAAAGTATATATTATATGTAATATATATATTGTGCATATATTGTGGTATATATTAAATGTTAGGAATTTTGTTAAATGTTCTTTTTCTTAGCTCTCTTTCTGTGATTTTTTTTCACTTGACTACGTTTTTCGTTCAATCTCTTATGTTATGTAAACTGTTGCAACAAGGGATTTTCGTTATTATTTGCATTATTCTATAAATATGTAATAAATATGTAAGATTATATAATGACGGTATACATCATTTCACATATATATGTACATATATGTGACATAAATTACACAATCTCCACTACAATATTTGATTATGCATCTATTAGGATATGAGGTATGACGAAGAGTATTGTTCAATCTTTTACGTTGTATTATTGTGACTAGTAATGGCTAAGCTCATTTTCAATAGCATTTCTCACATGTACATAAGGCGGGCTGACGTACATGTGTTATGATTAATTTATAGGCCGTCGTCTACAAAAACATTCTTATATCGAATCTATACAGACACGAATTTTCTACTTGTTGAATTAATTACTAGACGTACAAATTGGATGCAAATCGAATAAATTAAAACGAAGAAATTTCATATATTACTTAAACAAAAAATAATAAGCTTTATTTTTTACAATTAATAAAATGGATCAAGCCTGTCCAATATGAACCGCGGAGTCAAAACGTAAAATCATTGATGCAAAAAATTTAATGTAAGTAAGATTTCATGGACTGTAAAGTATCATATTAGTACTATAGATTAATTTAGGCTATGTCTAGAGGCGACAAGTTTAGAAAGATAGCATTTTTCTTTAAAAGGAGTTTTAAAAAATAACCATTTTTTGCTAAACGCGAATAACGATTGAGAAAATTATACAATCAATGAGTTTGCTGTGAAAAAAGCGCGTAAAGTTCAAATATAAAAAAATAAAATGTACGCATGTACTGTATGCGTGAAAGTAATAAAGCTAAGCTATTTCCTTGCATAAATCTTTTTTTATTCGTTATGAGCATACGATTATTGGAGAATTGAATAGAGGCGGCAAGGATTTCATCTACCTAGGGATGGCAAAAACCTTAAGCCGATTCTGATAAAATGTTGATAAGCGCTCAGACACGTATCGACTCTTTACAGTCTCCGAAATCTTATCCATATTGATTTTTTTGCGTCGATGGATTTACGTTTTGGCTTCGGAGAAATTGGATAGGCTTGAAATAGTTGGATATTAATTTATCAAAAGATTTTTATATAAAAAGTATTTAATCTACTTGCATTTCGGAAAGAAAACTTTAATGGATTAGAGGATATCTACGTAAAATATATTTCTTAAAATAGGCTCTTTTTTCTCACTCGTTGAAAGTTTTATAAAAAAAAAATCTAGACTAGTTATTTTAGGACTATGCCTTCTACGCCGTTTTGATTTTATCCATGACGTATATGACAAATAATTGAAGGCACATCCTTGATCGAAAAAAAAACAATTCTTCCTTATAAAACAAAAAACGATTATTCTTAGTGTCAAAAATCGTCAAGCGAATTCTCTAATTCTATAATCTCGTAATCAAAATATTTTATTATTTAAAAAGTCCGAGATTATATTTAAATAAATATTAAGAAGAGTTTGATATAAATGTTATTCAATTATTCGTGCTGATCGCAATAAACTATATAAACACCAAATCTCTATACTTCTTACTTTTTTTTCATTCAATTTCGATAATCCGGATCCATTCGAGAATCAATCTACTCTCAAGGATCTATTTTCATTTGCAAATATCTGTTCACATTTGAATGGTTTTTGAAGTTGCGTTTAATTAAACGAGAAGTTAGCCTTTCGGCAACGTTAATAATATCGCAGCAATCAGAACTGAGCAAGTTTGTATGACTCGTTATCAGACACTTTAGAAATTTTCGTCGATATCCCAATTCCGCACTAAGTTAAAAACTTCGAAATCGCCGTCGGGTACCTCGGATTTATCATGTGCAACTAATATCTCAGGTCGTAGTGCCACACAGTCTTTTGGCGAGCATTCGATGCGGCCTTCGGATCCGCAGCTGCATTCGACGCAGTTCCCGGTTGAATGTGGTAGTATCTCACCCTGTCGATACTCTCTCCCTATAATTCAAGTTTCATGGTATACGAATTTTGTATAAAAAGGCCGGAACCGCATATATTCATATGAACGCGCAGCTTTTATAATACATAAAAGAAAATATAGGCTTTTAAAGTATATAAAGGCTCACGCTTTTATCTTGCGTCGAGATACTATGAATATTAAACGTACTATTGTGTGTACTGAGATGATGTAGAGTACGAGAGAAGTAAATTTTAAAACAAAATTTTAAATCTTCAAACATTTATATAATAATTATGCTATAATAAAAACAATTTGGAAAATAAATAATACAAAAATCTAGAAAGCTATTAAAATTAAATAAAATAAATAAGTGTAATATATTTATATATACATATATTATTTCATAAAATAATATATATTATCTAACAAAAATTCTCTTAAAAGGGTGATATTCATAGTCAGTTCTTATATTCAAAATCATATTAACGTCTTAAGACATTATTCAAGAAATTATTCTTGAAATAAGAATCGACTATGAATACTGGTCTAAGATTTATTAAATTGAAATATTACGATAATTAATTAGAAAGAATAAAAATTAATACCCATCACAAGGCAAATGGTCGGTACAGAAGACGTTGTGACTGACAAAGTGGTGTTAATTTCTATGTGTCCTTGCTGGCTGACTGACGAGTCAAAATTTCCGGAAGCCTCAAAATCTTCCATAATGTCCGTCCTCATTTCCAGAGATGAAGTGTAATTGCTTTCCACTGTGGTCGATCGCGGAGAAGAGCCAAGCGACGAGACGATGTTCGAATTATAATCTTGCCACCAACAATAAACTTCACCGACGACGCACAGGCAATGTGAATTCGAGTCATACGACGGTATCTGAACAGCAAAAAAACACTTTTAGGAAAAGAGTTAATGGAAAAAAATATTAAGAAAAAAATGTTTAGTTTGCACAGAAAATTGGATCCTTAAAACTATTCGTTTGAAACAAAAAATTCACGAAGATATTTGATTAGTATGAGTGTCGCAATGGCACGTACCAAAATTGTCAATAGATAGCAAATTACAAAATCATACGCGTCCAAAATTTAGGTATCAAAATTACAATAAATGTTAATTTTTTTGATAATTTTATTGTATAAAACGTATGAAATTCTCAACAAAAAAATTTGCTCGAGGTACGTAGCCAATCATGTGTAAAATAATTCCTGAAAATTTCAAATCGATTAATTAGTTTTTGAAATTTTCCCTATTTTACTTAAAAAAAGCTTGTTTTCATTTCGCCCCCTGTACTAACTAAAATCGACTATAGGAAAT